TATGTTTTGTATTTTTTATTTACGTCTCAATAATGGAGCAGCCTACCAGACAAACACTGAACAATCCATTATGGCATTTGTCCATTTTTCAAATTGTTTCAACTGTTTTTTATTTTTCATTTTTTTTTATTTAAGAAACATGGAGCAGCCTACCTGTAGACAACCAAACGAACCTTTTTGACATTTGTCAAAACATCATCGAATATCATTTTGATTTTTTCGGTGGTGGAACGGATTAACTTGATTACCATTAATGTCAATAGGGACATTTGTTTTGTATGACGTCCATTTCACATGACGACGGTGCCGGAACTGATTAAATTCGTTATTCGAGGTACCACTGTATGTATGTATATGTATATGTATATGTATATATATATATATATATATATATATATATATATATATATATATATATATATATATATATATATATATATATGTGCGAACAAGCCTGAATGGTCCCCAGGACTATATGCGAATGAAAACTCACACCCCAGAAGTGACTCGAACCCATACTCCCAGAAGCAACGCAACTGGTAACTACAGGGCGCCTTAATCCGCTTGACCATCACGGCCGTCAAAAGGAAGTGATAGCCGAGGCTATTTGAGCCACTTCCCCGACGGCAACTCGGATGGTAATCTTGGGCATAGCATTTCACCAAATCACCTCATTCTTTGGGGCACACGTGAGGAACACAAATGCGAACAAGCCTGAATGGTCCCCAGGACTATATGCGAATGAAAACTCACACCCCAGAAGTAACTCGAACCCATACTCCCAGAAGCAACGCAACTGGTAACTACAGGGCGCCTTAATCCGCTTGACCATCACGGCCGTCAAAAGGAAGTGATAGCCGAGGCTATTTGAGCCACTTCCCCGACGGCAACTCGGATGGTAATCTTGGGCATAGCGGATTAAGGCGCCCTGTAGTTACCAGTTGCGTTGCTGCTGGGAGTATGGGTTCGAGTCACTTCTGGGGTGTGAGTTTTCATTCGCATATAGTCCTGGGGACCATTCAGGCTTGTTCGCATTTGTGTTCCTCACGTGTGCCCCAAAGAATGAGGTGATTTGGTGAAATGCTATGCCCAAGATTACCATCCGAGTTGCCGTCGGGGAAGTGGCTCAAATAGCCTCGGCTATCACTTCCTTTTGACGGCCGTGATGGTCAAGCGGATTAAGGCGCCCTGTAGTTACCAGTTGCGTTGCTTCTGGGAGTATGGGTTCGAGTCACTTCTGGGGTGTGAGTTTTCATTCGCATATAGTCCTGGGGACCATTCAGGCTTGTTCGCATTTGTGTTCCTCACGTGTGCCCCAAAGAATGAGGTGATTTGGTGAAATGCTATGCCCAAGATTACCATCCGAGTTGCCGTCGGGGAAGTGGCTCAAATAGCCTCGGCTATCACTTCCTTTTGACGGCCGTGATGGTCAAGCGGATTAAGGCGCCCTGTAGTTACCAGTTGCGTTGCTTCTGGGAGTATGGGTTCGAGTCACTTCTGGGGTGTGAGTTTTCATTCATATATATATATGTATATATATATATGTATATATATATATATATATATATGTTAGTATATTTTGGTAGCAGTCTTTCCTGTAGACATATATTATTAAATATGACCGAAAAAGTAAGATTAATAATTCTAACACGAATTTTCTCAATCTTTCGTACATTACGCTTCACTGTTGGAGGTAAATCAAAAATCACTTCTCCAAAATTCATTTTTATTTCTAGTCTGACGCGACACGGGCGCGTTTCGTAAAACTTATTACATTTTCAAAGACTTCACAAATACACAACTGATTAGAACTTACGTATCTCTGATTTTATATCTACATTTGAGTGAGGTGGGAGGGGTGATGTAGCATTAACACAAGACAGAACAAGAGGGGATATTAATAGGGTATTAAAAGTATCAACACAAGACAGAACAGAAACAATGGGTATTGAATAGAAGTGTTTGTAGAAAGCCTATTGGTCCATATTTCTTGATGCTTCTATATTGGAGCGGAGTCTTGAGGTGGGTAGAATATAGTTGTGCAATAATTGGCTGTTGATTCCTGGTGTTGACTTCTTGATGTGTAGTGCCTCGCAAACGTCAAGCCGCCTACTATCGCTGTATCTATCGATGATTTCTGTGTTGTTTACTAGGATTTCTCTGGCAATGGTTTGGTTATGGGAAGAGATTATATGTTCCTTAATGGAGCCCTGTTGCTTATGCATCGTTAAACGCCTAGAAAGAGATGTTGTTGTCTTGCCTATATACTGGGTTTTTTGGAGCTTACAGTCCCCAAGTGGGCATTTGAAGGCATAGACGACGTTAGTCTCTTTTAAAGCGTTCTGTTTTGTGTCTGGAGAGTTTCTCATGAGTAGGCTGGCCGTTTTTCTGGTTTTATAGTAAATCGTCAGTTGTATCCTCTGATTTTTGTCTGTAGGGATAACGTTTCTATTAACAATATCTTTCAGGACCCTTTCCTCCGTTTTATGAGCTGTGGAAAAGAAGTTCCTGTAAAATAGTCTAATAGGGGGTATAGGTGTTGTGTTAGTTGTCTCTTCAGAGGTTGCATGGCTTTTCACTTTCCTTCTTATGATGTCTTCGATGAAACCATTGGAGAAGCCGTTATTGACTAGAACCTGCCTTACCCTACAGAGTTCTTTGTCGACTTGCTTCCATTCTGAGCTGTGGCTGAGAGCACGGTCGACGTATGCGTTAACAACACTCCTCTTGTACCTGTCAGGGCAGTCGCTGTTGGCATTTAGGCACATTCCTATGTTTGTTTCCTTAGTGTAGACTGCAGTGTGGAAACCTCCGCCCTTTTCCATGACTGTTACATCTAGAAAAGGCAGCTTCCCATCCTTTTCCGTCTCGTAAGTGAAACGCAGCACGGAACTCTGCTCAAATGCCTCCTTCAGCTCCTGCAGATGTCTGACATCAGGTACCTGTGTAAAAATGTCGTCAACATACCTGCAGTATATGGCCGGTTTCAAGTTCATGTCGACTAAGACTTTTTGCTCGATGGTACCCATGTAGAAGTTTGCAAACAGGACACCTAGGGGAGAACCCATGGCGACCCCATCTACTTGCTTATACATGTGCCCATTCGGGCTCAAGAAGGGTGCCTCTTTAGTACAAGCTTGGAGTAGTTTCCTCAGAATACTTTCTGGCATGTCAAGAGGAGTACAGGCTGGATCACGATACACTCTGTCGGCTATCATTCCGATTGTCTCGTCCACAGGTACGTTGGTAAACAGCGATTCTAAGTCCAACGAGGCTCTTATCCCTGTGGCCCATGTGCCCCGCAGTAAGTCCACAAATTCCTTTGGAGACTTCAGGCTGAAGGCGCAAGGAACATAAGGAGTCAGCAGGCCGTTGAGTCGCTTCGCCAGTCTGTACGTGGGTGTGGGTATCTGGCTAATGATTGGCCGAAGTGGGTTTCCAGGCTTGTGCGTCTTGACATTTCCATACGCATATCCAGGTTTATATTCCCCAATGATCTTTGGCAGGTGGAGTCCGGATTTCTTGGCGTTCACAGTTTCGATCAGTTTGTTGACCTTTGCTTTTAATTCGGCTGTAGTGTCCTTCGTTACCCTTTGGAACTTAGTTTGGTCAGAGAGTATGATGTTCATTTTCGCCAGATATTCGTCTTTTTTAAGAATGACATATATTGGCGACTTGTCACCTCTCCTGACAACTATCTCCTTGTTCTCACGAAGGCTTTTAGCTGCCGCTTTAAGCTCGGGGGACAGTATGGTGCTTCTGTAGTTGCCTCGATTCTTTCCTCCTTCTGCAATAAGTTCTGCTTGTAAGGTATCTTTGGTAGTGACCTTCTTTTGTGTCTCGAGGTCAAATATGTCGTCCAACAGAATTTCCAACTCTACTTTCCGGGCCATTTCACTCGGTCTGGACATAACATGACAGTTTATGCCGAGATAAACATATATATATATATATATATATATATATATGTTTCATTGAATATGACTGCATATTCTGTATTGATTATTTTCTTGTTTAGGGCTTCTATCCCTTTGATTAGTGCTCTTGCATCTGGGTTTAACTGGAAGAGGAGTTCTCCAAAAGTAATTTTCATTCGAGGTGAAGAAAAAGAATAAATAACTGTAGAATGTATTGCACTTTTTATAAAATTACTCAACATTTCGAACCTACATGGTTCATTCTCAAGTGATGGGACAGTACAGGGTACATTGGATTTATATTATTAAGGGGGGTCAGGTGTAGATAAATCGATCGAACAATAGGGTCGGGTGTAGACAAATGGATCGAACAATGGGGGTTTATAGGTCTATACAAATGGCTCAAGAATATAGCATAAAGGAGAGAAGAATAAGACGTAAAGTGTGAAGAATAAGGCAAAAATAGGGTACAAAACACATACAAAGATTAATCAGGTGTAGTGGATGTGGCATATTGAGCAGTGTCTTCTATATTGGCATCTTCACATTCCGGTCTTGTTCTTACTCTCTTGGTAGGTAGAGAATAGTTCCGGAATTTGGGTATTTATGGCGAGTTGTTCTATTTTTATATGGATTGCTTCAAGAATTTGTAATATTCTTCCATCGTGGGTTTTGTCTATTATACAAGTGATATTATTCAATATTTCTCTTGTGTTCTTTAACAAGAGAAATGGTGAATGAAAACACTTGATTTTATTCAATATCCAATTTTATTCAATTTATATACAATTTTATTCAATTTATAAGCAAGATCCAGTAGCATAAGCTCTAGGGAGCTACTGAGGGGTGCCAGTAGAGAAAAATTACCCAGCCAATGATAAATTCTTAAGCCCTTCTTAAATATTCACTACAATACTATACATACAATACAGTTTTGCTTCAACAGGTTATGCCAATAACTCTTGCACTCTCTCATAACCAATTCCATTTTTCCTTTATTAAGCACCCCCATACCCAACCCATGGTCACTCTCATAACCAACTGCTTGTACTGTGTATGTGTTCATTAAAGGACTGTACTTACCATGAGCCAGTTTGTCGCGCCAGTTGGTGGTGTTAAGATCATGGTAGAGGCCTTTCAAGTCTTGCACATCTGAGAAGTCTGCTCCTTTAAAGTACACTTTTGTTGTAACTTGAAGACGTTCCTGCGAAAAGACAATTTTACTGCATATTGTAGATTTATTATTACAAAATACTAAGAAAATCTAGTACTGTAGAGTATAGTACTGTACATAATTATATTGTCTACATGTCTTTTAAAGATTATATATTCTATACACATCAATAATAGAATGGAATTCACATTTTAACCAAACACCTAGCTTCCACATATTCACCTCTGGTGCATAACAGCAGAACTTGAAAATGATGCTGAAAATGTCTAACTACAATTTTGGCAGCAAGAAATATAATTTCCTTAATGCTCCATGTAATGGAGTCTGAAAAGGTAATTCACAATGCTCAGCATCTGTACACAAAGGTGAAGGCAAAGAAAATTAAAGATTCATAAAATGTTCACAGTATACTGTGCAAATAGTGCTGGTCACTATTTTCACAGTTTGATTCACAAAATTATATACTCTATATAATTTTTTGTTTGTATTAAACTATAAAATGTTACCTGAATATATCCATAAATTGGAAGTGTACTCAGCACACATACTGACTTCTGCACGGTGTTCCTTGTAATGTCAGCACTTTTATTGGTTACTTTCTGTTGAATGAGATTAAATGCTTCATATTATACAATGTACCAACAATCACTATTTGAATAAGAACTACAGTATATCTTAACATCTATATTTTATTTACAATCTACAAATTGTTGTTCCAGTCACATAAATTCTTTGCCATTTAAATAGATAAAACAATGGAATTAGCAATCAGCAGCAGCAAGGCTGAACAAATGTTGGTCAAGCTCATAAAAAGAATTACTACATTTTAAGTGTTTTTATCAGTTGTTAAAAGACAATATTGCAGTAATACACAGTACTGCATACAGTACATCAATTTTTACCCGTTTCAGATGAGACAATGAGAGTATTTGTGAATCCTTGTAAATTAATGAAGATGGATGTACTGAACATTAACTGTATTAATTCTCACCTCTGCATCAATCTGCCGGTAACATGACACCCCAAATACAGTCTGATCTGACTTTGTCAGGTGAGGAAGGTGAAAGAAGATAGTGTCAGCCTCATGGTTGTGAGCCCCATCTGGCAAGCAGAGAGAAGGAAGATGGCGCCACAAGTCAGGAAGTTCGCACCCATCACTGCCGCCCAGTGCAGGGTATGCATATTCCACCTACAATTATTAATTACATGAATACTGTATATATATTTGTTTAATCATAATTTGATGTTATGACAGATTAAATTAACCATTACTTTTTATCTTATGACAGGAAGTGAATGAAAATAATATGCATTTATGTGTGTTATTTAATGCCTCAGGCCAAGTGGTAATCACAAACTCCTCTAGTGGTGTCTGGTTAGATATTCCCTCTCTTAACTCCGTGACTTCTCCTTGCTCTACTGTGATGACCTCCTGGATTTCTTATTGATAAGCACTGGAACCAGCGAGGTTATTCAGCTCCAGGTTTTTCCAGAACATGATACCTCAAGCATTTTGCATCCAGGCCAGGCCACTTCTTTATAAGGTCAAATGTAACACATACTGTTCAAGGAGCAACGGTTTTGAGCTCAACAAGCCAATATGTAGGACAGAAACCAGGAGATGCTTTTTCACCTATAGAGATGTAAACCCCTGGACTTGCCATTCAACTAAGGCTATAACTGCCAAGACAATACTGGATTTCAAAATCCAACTCGAAAAAATCATCAGGAAAAATGAAGGGAGGTTATCTTGAGGTTATCTTGAGATGATTTCGGGGCATTAGTGTCCCCACGGCCCTGTCCTCCACCAGGCCTCCACCCCCAGGAAGCAGCCCATGACAGCTGACTAACTCCCAGGTACCTATTTACTGCTAGGTAACAAGGGCATCAGGGTGAAAGAAACTCTGCCCATTGTTTCTCCCTGGCACCCGGGAACGAACCTGGGAACACAGGATCACGCATCCAATGTTCTGTCCGCTCAGCTACCGGCTCACAACCTTTGTGAGCCGGTCAACCTGGGGACCTTTGACAAGCCGCCAGCTTCCTGTCCTTGTCAAGGCCAATCGAGAATTGGTGGCCCTCGGGTAAATTCAGGTAAATGACTATACAATGTGTGAAGTGAAATCTTTCCATCATTACACTAGCAGGAGGGTTACCCCTTCATCAGTACACTGGCAGGATGGTTACCCCTTCATCAGTACACTGGCAGGATGGTTATCCCTTCATCAGTACACTGACAAGAGGGTTACCCCTTCATCAGTACACTGGCAGGATGGTTACTCCTTCATTAGTACACTGGCAGGATGGTTACCCCTTCATCAGTACACTAGCAGGAGGGTTACCCCTTCATCAGTACACTGGCAGGATGGTTACCCCTTTATCAGTACACTGGCAGGATGGTTATCCCTTCATCAGTACACTGACAAGAGGGTTACCCCTTCATCAGTACACTGGCAGGATGGTTACTCCTTCATCAGTACACTGGCAGGATGGTTACCCCTTTATCAGTACACTGGCAGGAGGGTTACCCCTTCATCAGTACACTGGCTGGATGGTTACCCCTTTATCAGTACACTGGCAGGAGGGTTACCCCTTCATGAGTACACTGGCAGGAGGGTTACCCCTTCATGAGTACACTGGCAGGAGGGTTACCCCTTCATCAGTACACTGCCAGGAGGGTTACCCCTTCATCAGTACACTGGCAGGAGGGTTACCCCTTCATCAGTACACTGACAGGAGGGTTACCCCTTCATCAGTACACTGGCAGGAGGGTTACCCCTTCATCAGTACACTGGCAGGAGGGTTACCCCTTCATCAGTACACTGGCAGGAGGGTTACCCCTTCATCAGTACACTGGCAGGATGGTTACCCCTTCATCAGTACACTGGCAGGATGGTTATCCCTTCATCAGTACACTGACAAGAGGGTTACCCCTTCATCAGTACACTGGCAGGATGGTTACTCCTTCATTAGTACACTGGCAGGATGGTTACCCCTTCATCAGTACACTGGCAGGAGGGTTACCCCTTCATCAGTACACTGCAGGTTTGTATAAAATACTGTATTCAGTACAAAATACCATGACATTTTTTTGTTTGGAGAAATTAGGGATCATCTTGATCATGAACCATGACCAAACTTCAGAATATAATGTCCCAATTACAGACCATTAATGGGGTTCTGACCTATTTGGAGTCTCCTTGTCCACTTTGCTATTGTATACAAAATTAAAAGTTATAGCTGCCTTGTTGATACAATTCTGGTTATGTTATCTTCATTTTATACTGCATCTATATAGCACAGCATTTCATAACTCTGTAGCAAACATACGTTATTCATACTTCTAAGGAAAGGTCAACACGGTTTATTATTACATAATACAATTCTCACTGCATATTTTTTCAATTTTTTTTTTTCAGGGATATTCCTGCATGGGGCCCTAAGACTCTGGCTGGCCCACTAAGTGTTGTTTGTTTCCATTTTACTTGGGTAAAGTATGAGTATTTGACTCATATGGCCGCTTCAGTAAGATTTTGTCTCACGTGTTCAACAACTTCTTCTTCTCTGTTGAATCTAAGTTGAAATCTTAATGGGGTTTGTAACTTTGTACTGTGCTAGATAATGTTCCAATGGTCTGTCAAACATTTCTCCACAGTGCTGACATTTCCTCTCATCTTCCGGAACCTGTAAGCCTATTTCCCATGCACATGGGTATCCAAGCCTGATGCGATGTAAGTGTACTTCTGTTGCTCTACTGCTCCTTTTCATCAAACTAAGTGGTTCATAGTTGGCTGAATTCTTGTACCAACCCACAGATCCTGATGTTGCAACTGCTGTGTTGTGGTCACTGTACATCTTTTGCACTGCTCTGTTTCTAATTACTTTCTTAATCTGTGATAGACTCTGTGGTATGTAAATGTCTACATTTCTTCTCTTAGTTGCAAGTTTTGCAGCTTTGTCTGCATTGTCATTTCCTATTCAGGTAAGGTACATACATACAAGAGACTTTACAAAAATTGATAGATTTTTATTGATAGACTATTATTCCCACATGACTTGGCACCCAGTTGACAAGTACCCAACGGCCTTGATGTTTGAGTGCTTGTATTAATGATATGACATTTGTGATCAGATGGATGTTATCACATATGTGTTCTTGTTGCAAGGTTTCAATGGCAGTTCTCGAATCTGTATGTATGATAACATGTTGTTGGTGTTCAGCAAGAGCATGTTCCTAAGTCTTTTGAATGGCTAGTACAGTATCTCTGTAAAGTCGAGTCTCCAACTATTTACAGTTTCCTGCTTTAACTGCAGCTCTGGTTTCTTGTCCCTGCTGGTCTACTGATCCATCTGTGAAGTAAGTGAAGCTGTCAGATGCCAAGTTTGCTTCTATATGCATCTGTGCAATATTATGTAGCAGATGAGGCTTTGTCTGGTTTTTTCAGCATGATCGGCTTTCCAAAACAGCGAAGTGTTACACCCCCATCTGTACAGTGGCTGGAGTACAGTGTGCAGTCCTTGGTGCTCGGGCCTGCCACTTGTCGCCTGACACAGCTGGAAAGACTTTTTTTTTTTTACATAACTCCTGCTCCTATAATAGCATGACGCAATACACTTTAAGTCCGATAGCCTCATACCACAAACCGAGACATTCAAACTCTGAGAATAATGTGCCATTCCTCAAGCTGTCATTCTGCGTTACTATTTTATCAGCAACGTATGTGCTTAAACTACATACCAGAATAGAGCCCCTTTGGGATATGCAGTGCTTTTATATTTTCTGTACAATAATAAGCTATGTAAAGATTAGGTTAAGTTAGGTTAGTATGGTTAATTTAGGTTAACCGCGAGTTCGTAACAAGAGGTGACTTAGAATGCAAAAACTTTCCAGCCTTACAAAGAGCACCAACGGAGATTATCGATTTTACCTGCATTCCCTTCTTGTGGTGGAATCCCACGACGATGACGTGTAGAGCTATCGGATCCTTGTCCTGCTCCTGCATGTTGCACGACGGCCACCGTCACTAGGGAGGAAATAAGGCCTTACAGGCGTCTCTGACTCATGACAAGAGTGCTGTTTACATCAGCAAACTGGTCGCTTGCACTCCGGCGTTTCGCACCTGGTCCTCACCCAACTCACTCACTCACTGCGAGTACTTCTCATACATTGTCAATACCTAATTATCACACACTGCCCACTCCTCTTTCTCACATTGCTCAAACTTGCACAAACTGCCACCACCTCGCACTCACTGCCAACACCTCAACAACACTGCCAACACCTCGCATTCACTGTCAACACCTCGCACAACCTGGCAACAAACTGCCAAAACCTTGCACAAACTGCCAACACCATAAAATCACTGCCAACACCTCGCACACACAGCCCACACCTCCCACACACTGCCAACACCTCGAACTCGCTGCCAACACCTCGCATTCGCTGCCAAGACTTCGCACTCGTTGCCTACCTCTCGCACTCGCTGCCAACACCTCGCACTCACTCTCAGAACCTCGCAAACATTGCCAACACCTCGCCTTCACTTTAACGCCTCACACACAATGACAACACCTCACACACTCACTGTCAACACCTCGCACAAACTGCCAACACCTTGCACTCGCTGCCAACATCTCGCACTCACTGCCAACACCTCGCACTCACTGTCAACACCTCGCACTAACTGCCAAAGTTTCGCACAAACTACCCACACCTCGCACTCACTACCCACACCTCACACACACTCCCCACACCTCGCACACACTGCACACACCTCGCACACACTGTCCACACCTCGCACACACTGCACACACCTTGCGCACACTGCCCACACCTCGCACACACTGCACACACCTCGCACACACTGCCCACACCTCGCACACACTGCCCACACCTCGCACACACTGCCAACATCTCTCACTCACTGCCCACACCTCCCACAAACTGACAGCATCTCGCACACACTGCCCACACCTCGCACACACTAGCCACACCTCGCACACACTGGCCACACATCGCACACACTGCCCACACCTCGCACACACCTCGCACACACTGGCCACACCTCGCACACACTGGCCACACTTCGCACACACTGCCCACACCTCGCACACACTGCACACACCTCGCACACACTGCCCACACCTCGCACACACTGGCCACACCTCGCACACAGTGCCCACACCTCGCACACACTGGCCACACCTCGCACACACTGCCCACACCTCGCACACACTGCACACACCTCGCACACACTGCCCACACCTCGCACACACTGCTCACACCTCGCACACACGGCCCACACCTCGCGCACACTGCCCACACCTCGCATACACTGCCCACACCTCGCACACACACTGCCCACACCTCGCACACACTGCCCACACCTCGCACACACTGCCCACACCTCGCACACACTGCCCACACTGCACACACCTCGCACACACTGCCCACACCTCGCACACACTGCACACACCTCGCACACACTGCCCACACCTCGCACACACTGGCCACACCTCGCACACACTGCCCACACCTCGCACACACTGGCCACACCTCGCACACACTGCCCACACCTCGCACACACTGCACACACCTCGCACACACTGCCCACACCTCGCACACACTGCCCATACCTCGCACACACGGCCCACACCTCGCGCACACTGCCCACACCTCGCATACACTGCCCACACTTCGCACACACACTGCCCACACCTCGCACACACTGCCCACACCTCGCACACACTGCCCACACCTCGCACACACTGCCCACACTGCACACACCTCGCACACACTGCCCACACCTCGCACACACTGCCCACACCTCGCACACACTGGCCACACCTCGCACACACTGCCCACACCTCGCACACACTGGCCACACCTCGCACACACTGCCCACACCTCGCACACACTGCACACACTGCCCACACCTCGCACACACTGCCCTCACCTCGCACACACGGCCCACACCTCGCACACACTGCCCACACCTCGCATACACTGCCCACACCTCGCACACACTGCACACACACTGCCCACACCTCGCACACACTGCCCACACCTCGCACACACTGCCCACACCTCGCACACACTGCCCACACCTCGCACACACTGCACACACACTGCACACACCTCGCACACACTGCCCACACCTCGCACACACTGCCCACACCTCGCACACACTGCCCACGCCTCGCACACACTGCCCACACCTCGCACACACTGCCCACACATCGCACACACTGCCCACACCTCGCACTCACTGCCCACACTGCACACACTGCCCACACCTCGCACACACTGCCCACACCTCGCACACACTGCCCACACCTCGCACACACGGCCCACACCTCGCGCACACTGCCCACACCTCACATACACTGCCCACACTTCGCACACACACTGCCCACACCTCGCACACACTGCCCACACCTCGCACACACTGCCCACACCTCGCACACACTGCCCACACTGCACACACCTCGCACACACTGCCCACACCTCGCACACACTGCCCACACCTCGCACACACTGGCCACACCTCGCACACACTGGCCACACCTCGCACACACTGGCCACACCTCGCACACACTGCCCACACCTCGCACACACTGCCCACACCTCGCACACACTGCCCACACCTCGCACACACTGCACACACTGCCCACACCTCGCACACACTGCCCACACCTCGCACACACGGCCCACACCTCGCACACACTGCCCACACCTCGCATACACTGCCCACACCTCGCATACACTGCCCACACCTCGCACACACTGCACACACACTGCCCACACCTCGCACACACTGCCCACACCTCGCACACACTGCCCACACCTCGCACACACTGCCCACGCCTCGCACACACTGCCCACACCTCGCACACACTGCCCACACATCGCACACACTGCCCACACCTCGCACTCACTGCCCACACCTCGCACACACTGCACACACTGCCCATACCTCGCACACACTGCCCACACCTCACACACACTGCCCACACCTCGCACACACCTCGCACACACTGCACACACCTCGCACACACTGCCCACACCTCGCACACATCTCGCACACACTGCACACACCTCGCACACATCTCGCACACACTGCACACACCTCGCACACATCTCGCACACACTGCCCACACCTCGCACTCATTGCCCACACTGCCCACACCTCGCACACACTGCCCACACCTCGCACACACTGCCCACACCTCGCACACACTGCACACACTGCACACACACCTCGCACACACTGCCCACACCTCGCACACACTGCCCACACCTCCTCGCACACACTGCCCACACCTCGCACACACTGCCCACACCTCGCACACACTGCACACACTGCACACACCTCGCACACACTGCCCACACCTCGCACACACTGCCCACACCTCGCACACACTGCCCACACCTCGCACACACTGCCCACACCTCGCACACACTGCACACACTGCACACACCTCGCACACACTGCCCACACCTCGCACACACTGCCCACACCTCCTCGCACACACTGCCCACACCTCGCACACACTGCCCACACCTCGCACACACTGCACACACTGCACACACCTCGCACACACTGCCCACACCTCGCACACACTGCCCACACCTCGCACACACTGCCTACACCTCGCACACACTGCCCACACCTCGCACACACTGCCCACACCTCGCACACACTGCCAACACCGTTGGGAGCCGTTGAGTGTAACCTTGGATTGTCAATGAGCAATCTGAGAGCAGCAGTACACCGAGAACTTCAACAAGATCTTGTAGATCTGAGGCAAAGTGAAATTGACACCGGTAATTCCATCTATCATCATACTATCATGCAAGAGGAGCCACACATCTATGGATCTTCCAATAAAATCAGCAGATTTCTAGATGTTACTACTGCTCGGCATCGACTCGGTTACAAGTATCTCTGGGCATTCTCATTATCTGCCGATGTAGACCTGACCAAATTTAAACTGTGTCAACAAAATTATTCGCACACCCTGCGTCACTATGTGATGGAGTGCGAAAAGATACGTGAATTTAGAGACAAATCTATAACCAATGTTCCAACGATGTGTAAATATTTAATTCAAAATGATCTGCTACCAGAAATTTTAGCCAAATATCCCCAGTTTGCTAACTGTAGGTAGTAACTAAGTAATTGTAACCTATCCACCGCTGCCCACTGGATGGGTGGGCGGTGTGCAGGACAAACATATCAATTGTGACACTAGCTCTTCACATATATCAGTTGCTTAATTTAGAAACTGTACTTGTGGTCGATCTCGAACCCATTGTTGATGTGATGACTTATATTGAATTTTGTAACTAGCTCATCAAGACTGTAACTTGCTTAGCTTAATGAATTGTGAGGTTCAGTCCCTGAGCCCATTATGTGCCTCTGTAACCCTTTCCACTACCGCCCACAAGATGGGTATGGGGTGCATAATAAATGAACTAAACTAAACTAAACTTGACCTACAGTTTATATAATACCGGAAATATCGGATATGACTCTTAGACGTTATTTTGAGCGGAATTCATAGTGATTCCACATACTTGGAGTTTTAAATTACTACTTTTTATAATGCAAATATGCAAATTTGATATTTGCATATTTTAAAATATCGTATTTGCATATAAAAAATAACGTCCATGAGTAATATTTCCGATATTTTGAAAACTGTAGGTCAGTTTTGGCAAAATCTCACTTATCGCCGTTTGCACTTATTTGTATATCTTCGGTATAAAAAGTCGTAATTTAATTCATTCTCTTTCGCTGCTTCTAGCGTTTGTGTGGGTGTTTTGGGATGTTGTCTAATCTTTCCAGAGAGAACACTGATGTAAAGTATTCATTCATTGTTGGCTACATTTTTATTGTCAATTATAACTTGGTTGGTGTCACCTTTTAATGGTTCAATGAACCAAATAATGGCGACTTTGGTTCCAAATGTTTTGCTCATGTTTCTTTTGGCTGATTTGACTTTGTCGTTGAATTCATTGCTCTTCTGTATATCTTATTATCTGTGATTCTTAGTGGAGTGATAACTTTGCCAAAGGTTGAGCTTAGTTGCCAGAGCTTTTTTCACAGTGCCATCTATCTAGTACTCTTTCTTTTCTTTCTCAATTATTGACAAGTTCAGTGATGCATGGTAATGTAAGGTGAACCAATAATAACAGTAGCGATGCTCAACTTATTTATTAGATAAATACGATAAGAAACAAAAGTGTCAAGGTCACTGGGGTACAGCCAATACTATAGGGACCTCACACCAGGGTCAACACATAACTAGTCAAATATATATTTTAAGAGAAACACGACTGGTCGCAGCTGACTGGTTGACAGATGCCATATCATCTCTGTAACAAGTATATTATTTCAGTAATAATAATAATAATAATAATAATAATAATAATAATAATAATAATTTATTTAGGAAAAGTACATACATAGATGCAGTTACAAACATTCTGATTGATTTATAGATAGAGCTAGTACATACAATACCTAAAGCCACTAGTACGCATAGCGTTTCGGGCAAATAATATACTTGCTCCATATTCTCATTAGCTTATGTGCAGATAATGAGATGGGTCTGTTAATTGGGCAACCCGTTCTCGCACTTGCTTATACAAGTCTCGCACTTGTGACTACAAGCAATAAGTCATATATGTACTGTCTTGTGCGAGAGCGGGTTGTTCCCGCTCTGCAACCCGGTCCTCTGATTACAGTTAATACCCCTTTTCCAAGTGTACAACTAATTACAGTTAATACTTCTTCCCAACCAGCTAGATGATGGTCAGGTGAGGTGGAGGCTCGTAAATTCTCATATACATCAATGTTCTTCCAAATGCCACTCAACACTTTAACGAATTCTATTGGCTGATCTTTATTTTCTCTCATGCTAACCCGCTTATTCTAAATGACACAGTGAATATTGAACTAATGAATATTAGTGAATATTGACATAGTGAATATTGACTGCTAGCAAACTTACCCTTAGCCTTAATAAAATGTTTTATATATTATTTGGTAACAAAGTCCAACAATCAAATTAACCTAAGAATTAACAATACCCAGATTATGAGCAGAGTAGATGGGAAGTTCCTTAATGGTCAAATAGACAACAAACTGAAGTTCCATTTCCAAATGCAAAATTTTATTTAAAAAAATCTATAAAGCAGTAACGCATTCTCTCCAAAATGCGACACTACGAACCTACCCCTGTCTTAATAACTGCATCATTCGCTCATTTGCTATTTTTTCTGCCAATGTTCCCCCCCCCTTTTTTTATTTTTGTATTTTCTCAACACAATTTATACTTTAATCTCAATTAGTATTAAGTTTTAGTCTTAGTGTTTTTCCTGCCCGAAACGCTTTGCGTAATAGTGGCTAGTATGTACTAGCTCTATCTATAAATCCATCAATGTTTTGTATCTCACCTTGTATGTATGTACTTTACCTGAATAAATATTTGATTTGATTTTTTTCGATATCTCACCTATGGTGACCAGCAACCAGGAGGCCTGGTCAAAGACCGGGCCGCGGGGACACTAAGCCTCGGAAGCACCTCAAAGTAACCTCAAGGTATGGTATCTGTGCCTGGGGATCTGCCGCCCTAACTTACCTCAGACTCCTTATTACTCAATATAAATCTTCATCCACCTTCTGGTGGATGTATAAATGGATTTTGCTAAAGCTTTTGATAAGATACCACATGAAAGACTGGCAAGAAAATTACAGGCCCATGGAATAAATGGTAAAATATTAGAATGGATAGAACAATGGTTGAAGGAAAGAAAACAAAGGGTCGTGCTAAATGGAAACGAATCTGAATGGAGAAATGTGATAAGTGGGGTGCCTCAAGCTCCATTTTGGGACCTACCCTTTTTGTCATATACCTCAATGACATAGACGGGAATATTACAAACCACATCATCAAATTTGCAGGTGACACAAAGATTTATGGTAAAGTTGGAAATGATAACGGTATTGACGTCTTACAAAGAGATCTACATGAACTCCACAAATGGCCAGAAGACTGACAAATGCTTTTTAATATCGACAAATGCAAGACCATACATGTGGGGCTTAACAACCCACGCCACAACTATCAAATTTATACCAAGCGGCGCAAAGTAGTTGGCAACTACCAACACAAGCAGATCATAGATCATATCGCAGGCTACCGGAAGACGACCAGCTGGATGAGGAGCCATCTGAGGTCGAGCATCACCGGCGACTCAACCAACAGTAAGGGCCGAGGAGGCTGGAGGCCGAGCGGTGACCTGGCGACAGAAGACACGGGCTTGTGGCGTGAGGATGCGGTGCTGCAGGTGACGACACAGCAGCTCCGAGAAGGTGTCCAGGTCCGCCTTCTTCTCCACCACCACCACCTGCAACCACAACAACGTCAGCATCAGGACCATCTCCTGGGGCATCAAGGCCTGGAACTAGTACAGTCTTATATCTGCCAGTCATCATGTAGTAGCAGGACACTTATGTTACAGTGATGTGTGATGTGAGTGTGGCCATGTTTTACAGTAGACATGTGCAAGTGTGAATGTGTGTTACAGTCGGCATACATGTATGTGTGTTACAGAGGAAAGGTCCAATAGAACGCACACAAAGGTCAACTGCTTCATGCTCAACAAACCACGCGCAATATAGAACAGAAAATAGATGCATGTATATACGTGTGTTACAGTGGATGGTCGCGTGTTACAGTGGATGGTCGCGTGTTACAGTGGATGGTCGCGTGTTACAGTGGATGGTCGCGTGTTACAGTGGATGGTCGCGTGTTACAGTGGATGGTCGCGTGTTACAGTGGATGGTCGCGTGTTATAATGGACGCGTGTGTGGATGTGGACATAGACATAGACGTTTAACGTGTGTGTGTGAAAATGCTCACATCATCAATAGCGACGACAGGAACTTGTAAGAGCGCCGGTGCCAGCTGGTGCTGCCGTCTGCCGGCCTCCAGGAACAGCTGGGAACCTTCACCAGAGAGCGCACACTGGTACACTGCTTGCAGGCCCGCCTCAGACCCGCTCCTCCCTCCTCCAGACTCCAACACACACTGTTCACAGATGTAAATTTAAGTAGTAACTTAGTTTAGTTCATTTATTATGCACCCATACCATCCCGTGGGCGGTAGTGGAAAGTGTTACAGAGGCACATAATGGGCTCAGGGACTGAACCCCACAATTCATACAGCTAAAGCAGAAAATCACTTTGTTATTAGGTTAAATATTAGAATATGATATTAAACTACTGATATATTTACAAACCATGTAGCTGTTTATTCAAGGCTGTAACTTGACAAATTAATTATGACCAATTATTAATTATTATTATTTTTGGGTCCATTTCATGAGCCAATAAAAAGGACATCGCACTTTGACTTATAACTCCACTATGACTAAAAACTAATGTACTGAAAATCATAGAATCTTCCAAAAGTGACGTGATGTCCCGTTTTCTATTCGTGGGTCCTAGGGTAGGTTAGATTCGGCCAATTTAGTACATCAGATTAGTGACGTTGTGAGCGCTCGAGTGGATGGATGATGGTAATGATGTGCCTCTGTTCCCTTTCCACTCCTACGCATCATGGGTGTGGCCGGGTGCATAATAAATGAACTGATTGTGCTTCTCAAATGTTACGTATGTCTAACAGGCTGCTAACAGAATGGCAATGATCGGTCGCTCACACACCGGACTCTAAATACCGCAGTATATGCATGTGCCCCGCGACAAGCAAAGGATAGTTTGCATGTCACAAACGGGTGCATAATAAATGAACTGATTTGTGCTTCTAAATTGTTTAATTTAATGCCTGTCGCTTCTAATGCGACAGGCATTAAAATAAAAAAAATATTTTTCAAATTAAATATCTGAAATTTTACATACTCATATTACAGTTGGCTTCGTTTTCGACTCTCATTCTGGGTCCTGGGTTCCATTCCCAGGAGGGACAGTCAAAATTATTTACAATTATATATTAAAATGTAAGCAATTAGTTATAAAGTTCTTATGGTGGTCTTGATAATACTTTAGCCGCGTGATAGGCCTCAATTAAGCTCAAGGCCAAACTAAAGACAATAATGAATTACTAATCAAATTTTAGTGAGAGTTACGGGGCACCTTCTGCGCGACGGTGAAGACCTGGTGGAGGTACGTGGCCTGCCGGAGGATGTGTGTGTGTTGGGTGAGGCAGGCGGCGAAGGCGAGCTGGGCTGACTCTCCACCAGTCAGGTGACGACCTCCACAACTGACCAGCCAGTTCCCCAGACAGTCACCATACCCGTACTGGCAGCCTCCATCCTGAAGTGTTGACGTTACTCACACACCTGTCTCTCTCTTATTACACCTGCTGCTATATTGATGCTCACACACCTGTCTCTCTTATTACACCTGCTCCTATATTGATGCTCACACACCTGTCTCTCTCTTATTACACCTGCTGCTATATTGATGCTCACACACCTGTCTCTCTTATTACACCTGCTCCTATATTGATGCTCACACACCTGTCTCTCTCTTATTACACCTGCTGCTATATTGATCGTCACACACCTGTTTCTTATTACACCTGCTGCTATATTGCTCACACACCTGTCTCTCTCTTATTACACCTGCTGCTATATTGCTCACACACCTGTCTCTCTCTTATTACACCTGCTGCTATATTGATGCTCACACACCTGTCTCTCTTATTACATCTGCTGCTATATTGATGCTCACACACCTGTCTCTCTTATTACACCTGCTGCTATATTGATGCTCACACACCTGTCTCTCTTATTACACCTGCTGCTATATTGATGCTCACACACCTGTCTCTCTCATTACACCTGCTGCTATATTAACACTCAAACACCTGTTTCTCTTATTACAGAAGAGAACGGCTTGAAGGGGAGACCAGAGGAACAGAAAGAGGTTAACCTTTCAATAGAATGAACATAATATACTAACATATGTGTGGTGAGGAGGATGACAATGTTAATTAAGGAATTGGATAGGCAGTGTAGAGTATACGGTGAGAGGATTCAAGTATACAGTGATGAAGAGGTATAACAAGGGAAATATTAATATATCAACACAAAGCACAAGACGGAATATTGAACAAACTGAATTAGCATAGTATATTCATAAAGGACTTGGGTAAATACTGGTTTGGGAATTAGGTGACCAATTTATGGAATAAATTATCTAAGAATAGACATGTGATTTATGGATTATTTTAAACAAATGCTCGAGATATGTATGAGTTTTGTTGGGTATAAACAGGAGCTGCCTCGCGTGGGCCACCAGTGACAAAAATGGGTAAATATAAGAATATCGATCAGGAACACGGAAGAAATCATTCATAACATGGTACTGCAACGGCTTACGCAAAGACCTGAAACAGCTGAGTAACTGAAGCACAACACCGGTCACCCCAACTAGGGAGGAACAGAACTCACCTGGCGAACGAGACCGTAAGGAATGAGTTCGAGGTGAACGTGTTGCCGGAGTGTGGACATGGCTGGGAAGAGCTGGTAATTGATGAACCAGCTGGACGAGGAGCACGCTGACGTGAAGATCACACTCACGTTCACCTGACCATCACACCGACAAAATTATTAACGTTTCTTTGTATTTGGTGGTGGCTGAAGCCAGCCAGGTACAGTGTTATACTCACTACAATGCCAGCTGTGGACAACCAGCTAGTAAGACGACGAGAAGCAGGGGTATAGACGACGACAAAACAGGGGTACAGATGACGAGATGCGGGAGTACAGGCGACGAGAAGCAGGGGTACAGCCGACGAGAAGTAATGGTTACAGACAACGAGAAACAGGGGGTACAGAATACGAAAAGTAGGGGTACGGACGACGAGAAGCTGGGGTACAGAGGACGAGAAGCAGGGGTATAGAGGACGAGAAATAGGGGTACAGACAAAGAGAAGCTGGGGTACAGACGACGAGAAGCAAAGGTACAGAGAACGAGAAGCAGGGGTACAGAGAACAAGGAGAGGGGTACAATAGAGCTGACCTTGTGTAATTGCTGTAAAGGTGAGGGAGTCTCCCAGTACGGTGGGCCGTTGTTCACCAGCTGCTGCCCCTCAGTAAAACCATGAAGGGTGAGAATGGGTGGGTAAGGCGCAGAGGGTGGCAGCGACGCCATGATACTCCGGCGGCAGGTCTTGCCGGCGCCACACCCCGTCTCACAGCAGGAGGAGTCGAGCGGGCACTGGGCATCCAGGGCACACCTTCGCTGTCAGGGGGAACATATCTCACTCTCATCAACACATATATGACCTCTCACACATACAGATGTGACACGGGAAATGTGACACATGAGATGTGTGTGACAGTTAAAATTGACGTTATATTATGCAATTAATTTTGAATAACTTATGATATAATGAAATTAATTTAGAGTGTTTGCTAGGGAAGGCCAGACTTATACAACTAAAATTAAAATACTAAAAAATAATGATGTAGAAATCAAAACTAAAAAAAATAAAATATGCACGTTAGTGGCTTTGTAAGAATGTGCAAATACCAATCTTATTTCATTTCACCAACCCATTGTACCTGCGTGTGAATAAATTATTCACAGGCCAAGTCAATTATATTGGTGTACGTCAATTACATTGGTGTACGTCAATTATATTGGTGTACGTGACTCTTGGAGAGACCTCTCCAAGTCACATTTTCTTGTGTTGAGACCTGCAGAACTCTTTGCCGAAGTCTCCGTCTACCACAACCTGCGGTGGTGGTTGGTGGTGGGGAAAGGGGGAGTGTGGTTCTTACCTGCGTGGAGCGACGCCTTCGGTACCCGGAGGCAGCGTGCCGGCAGCCCTGGCCGCCGTGCGGGCACACCGCCCTGCAAAACACGAGGTCTTTGTTACTCCTGGTGCATCCGTATACACACACACATACACATGCTTAATATATGCACTTTTATATACACGCGCATGTCAAATTTGCACACACACACACACACACTCGTGCCAAACATACCCACAAGCTACACTGACCTACCATGATGAAGCAACAAGCTACACTGGCCTACCATGATGAAGCAACGAGCTACACTGGCCTACCATGATGAAGCAACGAGCTACACTGACCTACCATGATGAAGCTACACTGACCTACCATGATAAAGCTACACTGACCTACCATGATGAGCAACAAGCTACACTGACCTACCATGATGAAGCAACAAGCTACACTGACCTACCATGATGAAGCAACAAGCTACACTGACCTACCATGATGAAGCAACAAGCTACACTGACCTACCATGATGAAGCAACAAGCTACACTGACCTACCATGATGAAGCAACAAGCTTCACTGACCTACCATGATGAAGCAACAAGCTACACTGACCTACCATGATGAAGCAACAAGCTACACTGACCTACCATGATGAAGCAACAAGCTACACTGACCTACCATGATGAAACAGTGTGCTATCCTTACCTACCATATGCTAAAGCAACAAGCTAATCTAACCTACCATGATGAAACAACAAGCTACGCTAACCTACCTTGATGCACATAATACTTTTACGAGAAGAAATACGAAAATATTTTCACTTTACATTTTAAACAGTAAAATTTTTTCTTAAAATAGCGTAATTTCAAGTGCTTGGGAAGCTTACCTCTGCGTCGTTTCATACTGCGGCTGCGTACTTTGGGTCGATATTGTAGGTGACGGTCGTACGGTTGTTGTCTGCAGGAGTAAGCAATTATGCCCGCATGTCCACGGTGACTGGCAGGGTAAAGGGCACTTCACGGGTGGTACTGCTGTCGGACAAATAACTGGGCACGGCCCAGGTGGTAAAGTTGCTGGCGGGCAAGTAGTTGGGCATGGTGCAGGTTGTGCTGCTGGCGGGCAAGTAGTTGGGCATGGTGCAGGTTGTGCTGCTGGCGGGCAAGTAGTTGGGCATGGTGCAGGTTGTGCTGCTGGCGGGCAAGCAGTTGGGCAGGGCGCCCGGGGCTGAGCTCCGCAGCAATTGTTTGGTTGGGTGAACGGTTGTGGCTGGCACATGCCCCATGGCCAGCCACAGTTAGTTCTGTAGAGCTGTTGAGAAGGCGGGCTAACAGGATAGAGTCCAGCGCACCTCACTACAAGGCCTGCAACGATCACCTGAAAATGCATCACACTAAGAACGCTTTTTCATGCAATACTAAGGAGGCACTGCTGTACAGTCTATGTTATAATTGCATTTTTATAACATTACGTACGTTTCTCGAAACAACATAATTCTGTATGCAACGCACATGCAAGCACGGAGTATAGTAACAATTTAGTTTATCATATAGTCTTTGCCTTCACTTGTCCTGAGTTTGTCTTGGGTCCTTATCAGAGTGCAGTTACATGCTGGGGTCAAGAGGCAGGACACAAGAGCAGAGATCGATTTTGCGCGATTCTTATGAAGATGCAAGTGCTCAGATGTCACTGGACGCTAGTGAGCTCCTCACTCACTTTCAGGAGTGAGGAGTCAACAAACATGCAATTAGAATTGGGAATGGAACAGACAGACTCAGGATCTGGCACTTGGATAAGCAAGTTATTAGACTGACCCATAGACGGAAAAGCTCAACAGATGTTCTGTAAGAGCTGGTCTTGTTGTGAACGCAGGCTCTGTGTATCTCCTCCGTCATGCTATATTATATCACTATGCGATGTTCTCATTTGTTTTTGTATGAAGAAAACCATTCACTGTAAATGTTAAAGTTCTGTGTGGTCGTTACTCTCACTGTATCTTTTAATGTGTTCTGAATACTTAC